AATTGCGAGTTTATATCTCACAATTCTGACTTTTTTTCTTGCAGTTCTGACTTTATTTCTCAGAATTGCAACTTTATGTCTCACAATTATGACTTTTTAACTCACAATTGCGAGTTTGTATCACGCAATTCTGAGAAAAAAAGTCAGAACTGCGAGAAAAAAAGAACTCGCAATTACCTCTTTTATTTTTTATTCAGTGGCAGAAACGGGCTTCCATAAAGTACTTCAAGTTAAACTAAGAGTGAAATGTTGCCTTGGCAACTATCTGAAATAAAGAATATTACATACTTAAAATTTTAGTAGCAAAAACTAGGTTTGTAACTAAATAATTATCTAATAAATAAATACATAAATCCTGTTCATTTTTAATGAATGAATAAAAAAGTCTGATTAATTTGTCTCATCACAATGTTCACACAAATTTATGTGAATTAAAATGTTTTAAAAATAAATAGAAATATAGGTAAATATTGCTATTAATATTGAAATGCTGTAAATATTGTGCATTTAACATAAAAATATATATAAAAATATAAAAAATATATAAAAATATATAATTATTCCTTTCTCATTTAGTGAAAGTGTAGAAAACGAGTCTTGATTATTTTTATTTAGTATTTTACTTCTTGCATTACTTCTTTGCTTTAGATTCAAATGGATGAAATTATGTTTCCATAAGGCTGTAATAATATCAGGATTATACAAGCTCTAGCACTCAGTCCTAATTGGAAGAAAGCAATGCATTTTTCAGTGTTTCTCAGGTCATTATTTGAGAAGCTTTGGACGTCTTGCTTTCAGCTGCTGTAATGAAAGCACCAGACAGCAAATCAGAGCCGCTGGGCTTCAGCTGAAGACTGACCTCGAAAGACCTTCCAGAAAGAGCAGATACACCTATTCTCTCAGAGTCTCCTCATAGAGAGAGATGCTCTGTTCTCTGACCAGTGATGTTGTCTGACAGGCCTCTGAGGCCACTGGAGGACTGAGATGGACCATGGAGCACAGGAAACACCAGATCTTGTTTACTGCTTCAAACTGCATCTTCCATTAAAGGGGTCATATGATGCTTTTTTAAAGATCATTATTTTGTGCATTTGGTGTAACAGAATATGGTGACATGCTTTAATGTTCAAAAAACACATTATTTTTCAAATACTGTATATTA